GGCATGGCGGCCATCACTTCGTCCGTCACCTCAAACGTTGCCCCGGGTTCGTCCACCCTCACGGTAGGTGCCGTAGGTATGAGTAACGATGCAGGTCTTGGCTTCATTTCGAACGTCCCGGTAGTCATGATGAAAATGAATAAAAGCCCGCTCGCCTTTAGCCTCCCTTTATTCGATTTCGCACCGCATCGTCAACCAATACGAACATGCCACGTAAACAAGGAGGCGGAGGCATCCGATCACGCCAGAAAAAACGAACCTATGGACAAGTAGGAGGAAACATCCGTTCCAGACCACGAAAACAAAACTATGGCCAAGTAGGGGGCAGACGAAGACGAAAGAGACGCTCCCAACAAGGCGGGATCTTCCCCTTGTTGGCGCTCGTTCCCGCGGCCATTGCTGCCGCCAAAGCTGCCAGTCTTGGCGCCGTTGGAGCAGGGGTGGGGTTCGGCGTCAAGAAAGGTCTAGAAAGCCTCTAGAAAAACCCTAACACGCTACGAGTGCGCATCAGTCTCCTCATGGAAACCACCGAAAGTTACCACACCCGTCTCATCACCTCCACACTCGATCGCCTCAACTTCCATCAAGTCCAAGAATGTGCCTGCTTTCCGCAAGACCTCCGTCACCGCGTGCCTCAGCTCCTGCTCATTCTCTACCTCCTGGATTGCTTGGACGTCATTCATCCCCGTGCCAAGGTCAAGGAAGAGCACCAATGGTTGTCCGACGATTACAAGTCCCATGACTACGACGTCATGCAACGTTACGCCCACGTTCAAGAATACAAATGTCACCTCAAACGCATCATCTCCCACGGAAGTACCGAACTCAGCAAGCTCATGACCGTTGGACACTACATGTCCATTCCCGCCTTCGATCTCCTGGTCCATCGTTACGGCATGGACGTGGCGCTACAAATGTGCTTGGAAAAAAAGAAAAATCACTAACCCACCCAACTACCATGCCAGCAACACGACCCCGTACCCGTGCTCTTGCCTTCCTCGAGAAGCGCGTTCGCTCCTGGTGCCTGCCGACCCTCCACGACAACGACGCCTCTCCTCAC